GAAGCTATTAGACCAAGAGTTCAAAGTGGTGAAGTTAAAGTCATACATTTGGAAATTTTACGGACGCCATCACGGGTTGGTTGACCGTTACGGAATATCTGTTTCACAGATGACGACGGATATGTTCCAATTGTCGTAACTGCAATCTCGTCCCCTTCTCCCGAATGTGACATACTGAATTAGATATATCACCGAGTGTGTACTAACATAAGCAACTTGTGGAACAGGTTCTGTTTAACCTTCCAGAGCACCTGATTTTTTGGTAGGGTTCGTGTTGCTCAGACTTTGGTTTTTTTATGTTGTTTAGTGAACTGTTGTTTGTCTGTTTGTCTTTTTTGTTTTAGCCATGTTTATTTTCGACTTATATGTTTGAATGTTCCTTTGGTATTCTTTGCCTCTCTTTTTCTTCTCCTTGACATATATATTGGCAATGATTGTCGGTTGAGGATAAAACTTTACGACAAAAGGTTTGATTTCAGCTTTAAAATTGTGAACTTTCCATTTCTATGAAACAACATTCCAGAAGCGCCTACATTATCGCCCAGTTGGTACGATATTCCAGAGATTCCTACTATTGTTTATTTCATACAGGGTTGCTGCTTACTAGAAAACTATTAAACCGAGGGTTTGAATTGGTAAAAATTGAAGTCCTTCGAAAGTTTTACGGACGCCATCAAGTTGGTGGACCGTTATGGAATATGTGTCACAGATGACCATGGATTTGTTCCAGTTGTCATCAGTACAATCCCGTCGACCTTTCCTCGATTGTGACATCACCGATTGAAATTATTGAATTTGTACTTACAATGAACAACACGACGGGTGCCACTGGTGGTTTTTACCTTTTGCGCTACCCACTATGTTAAGACCTTTCCTCGATTGTGACATCACCGATTGAAACTCATTATTGAATTTGTACTTACCATGAACAACACAACGGGTGTCACTGGTGGATTAAGATCTGCTTATCGCGGTTAAGTGTTGCATGTATTTTTCTACATTAGATCATGATTTAATGATTGAAAATATTATTTGTTTGGTATACGCTATTCAAAACGATAAAATATGTGACACAATACCACCAAACGTCGAAATAAGCAGGAACTCGTCATGTAATGGAACAGTAAAACATCGTTTTTACCTTTTGCGCTACCCACTATGTTAAACATTGGTTCATGCTTAAACAGAGAAGTCAGTGATAGTTTATATCAATCATCATCCTACATCCTGGGAGAACATGATTTATTTATAAATCGTAAATGGCATTGAACTAAATTTCAGTGACTGCGAGTACTCTTACATAGGAGCTTTGTTTCTTTTGTTTTTATATATAAGTTTGTGTGCGTCGTATAGCTCTTTTGAGTTAAGCGACTTAATTTTACAGTTTGTTCTTATCTTGTGCTGTTTCACCACTGTCCCAGGTTAAGAAGAGGGTTGAGCGCTCAGAAAAATCTTTAACGTTGCCCCCATCTTCATGTGCTTGTTCAAATCAAGAGCCTGTTATTAAAGGGTTGCTCTTGGATCATGTTTGTCATATTTGTTTTTCGTAAATTGTTTTATTATAAATAACAACGATAGTTTTCTCGTTTGAATTATTTCACATTTTATTCATGCCTTGACCTTTTATATACTGCTATACGGTATGGGTTTTTCTCATTGTTGAAGGCAGTGCGGTGACCTATAATTGCTTATATCCACTAATTGATTTCTGGTTAATAGTTGTCCCATTGGCAATCATACCACATCTCCTTAACTTTAATATAATTGGTAATTTTTTAATTTTGAACATGTATGCTCCTGTCAAATTTTCTTTATCAATATTATAATGGTTTTCATAGAAGTAGTTTAGTTAAAATCTAACGAACGACGGACGCCAAATGATGATAAAACTCACAAAGCTATGTGGGCAAGGTGAGCTAAAAAGATGACGAAAAAACATGTGTGTTTATTATGTTTTTAATTCTTTATTCCATTATGTGCACATTAAGCTCTATTTTTCCTATATCCGTAGTCACCAAGTTTCCTACGTCGACCATACCGCTGTTGTCTGTTATAAAGTCTGATTAACCTTTGTACTTTGCAGTTTCTTCCAGTATCAAATGACTCAGAATTTGGACAACGATTATGTTGGTTGTTACGACTTGGGCAAATAGACGGCAAATTACAACCAATTGGTCGAGACCTATCACGCATCAACGGTTGATCTAAAAGCATTACAATAAATCACATCGTTAGCGAAGAGGTAAAAACTGTATTGTAATATGTACAGAAATGGTAGTTTTCGTTTAAACATGGTTGATGCTTTAAAATTATATGAGTTAGAAAATTTATAATATTTAGGTAGTGTACAGAGTATACTGATGTTAAGTTCAATGTTAACGGCCTACTAAAATGTGTGTGCGTGAATAGCTTGATATTCAAACTGAGTGGTACGAAAATGGTCCACAGTGTAAGAGCTCTCGCTTTGTATGATATAAAACAGCAACTTACTTAACATAATTGAAGATGACGCCAAGATCACTATCAATTGAAGACAACGTTTTAGACTTGGTCCAATTCTAGAGCAGACAGTTGTCTATCAATGACGGTTGTATGTAGACTAATACATTTTTTGTATGTAGACTAATACATTTTATTCATGTTTTATTGTAGATGCGCCGTTGCCATTGAGATTTCATACTTCGGACTCGTGCTTCTCACTTACTTACAATGTATGTGCAACTCCATAAATCATTACACTTGAATCATATTTTTTCGTAAATCTAACATGTTTTGCCCATTCTACGAAGTCCCAATTGGCAACATGCTACCTATGGATCCCTAACAACGTTTGGGCAAGTTTTTTTACGTGCATACATCATTCTACCCCTTTCACAACGGATTATACTGACGTCGTCATTCCAACCATGACACGGTAACGTGTTTATATTTTTGTTCACAGTTAACGGACATCCATTACTGGAACAAATTCTTTATGGCTTGGTACACATCATTGAAATTTTAACGATTTGAAAGAGTCTTCTTATATCTAAAAGGTAAACGAAAGTGCAACGTTTGACAACACGAAACGCTTCACTGCGTTGAAATTTGCCGTTGGTTATTTTTTCTTATGAAAATCCTAGGATAAAAACACTGGAGCAAATACTAATTGTATACAGTCATTAATAGAAAAAGATATTTGGAATTGCATGTACTTTGAATATTTATCTAACTTATACGAATAAGTATATCATACTCACTTCCAGCTGTAAGGATAAAATAAAATGATTCAATGAAATTGGTACACACATCCATAAAATTATTGAAGAAATCAGTTTCGAATAAGTAATATAAAGTTTTACACTGGTGCGTATTTCAAAGACGTAAAGCACTAAAAATTATTCTCACCCTTGACAAAATTATTTAAACTATTTTATGCCTACAAAATGATGTGTTGTGTTTTGCTTTCACCAAAACAATTTATTACCATCTGGTATGTGTAATTTTGCCTTTCACCACAACAAGTATTACCATCTGGTATGTGTAGGTTTGCTTTTCACCACAACAATTTATTACCAACTGGTATGTGTAATTTTGCCTTTCATTACAACATAAAAACCTCAGAATTGACGTATTTTTTTCATTTATTAAATAACAGACTTCTAAATATGCACAATTTTTCAAATGTGGAATACGTTTCAATTGGAAATTATGGAGGCAACATCCGCCTAATCAAAGTTAAAACAAATCAAACACGCCCAAACGTTCAGTTTATGTCGTTATTGGATGTGTCAAAATAACAATCAGACATTCTGTTATCGGTAGTATCCTTAATATGAAGTTCACTGGGTTATGTAATGTAAGTACTCATTGAAATGTTGTTTATTGTGTGACAGAACATCATCCATATATCTGGAAGTGGTGATAAGAATTTTGCCTCATATGAGTACAAAAACCTCGTCGATCAGTAGTAGCGGACAATTAGTACCAACAAGGATACCGACTGTCTGCTGAAATATTAATCCACCTAACTCAACAGATATGATGTCGGAAAAAAATACAGCATTTTGATGATAACACCTATTGTGTATTTGTTGTGGGAATCGGTGTGGTTTTCACAAAGTAAGACTGTTCATGGCCTAAAAGAGGGAATTTGTTTTTACTTTTCTCATTTTTGTAAAAAAAAAAGCTTTGTTTAATGAGACGATGCAATTTTGGAATTGTAAAGAGTAAAAAAATCAAATACCAGTATTTTGATCTTACTGTAAAATTGTAAAGATTGTAATTGAATGATTTTTGAGTACATCTTTAGAATTGTTTTAAATTCACATCTGATTGACATCGCTGATTTGATATATCTCATCAAAATATTTCTAAAGACCATTTTGCAGTAGAAAGAAGGGTGGTAAGAACTTGAGAAAGATTTAATTCAAAATTTTAACGATCGAACTAGATATCGTTCTTCACAGGGATTTTTGTGAAGTTGAGGTATCCAGTATAAAGATTGGAGATTTTGCATCGTCTTTTTTCTGTTAATATCAAAGAGAGAAAGACTGATTTTCTAAATTCTCTTCTTTTGTGGATGATGTAGAGGTGTATATGGGATTCCCAGTTGTGCTGTAAATTTTTTCTTCTTTAGTCAGACATTCCATATAATTTGTTTTGCATATAAAACAATATGTTTAGTGTTTCTCTGCTGACACTGTTAAATATGTTTCCTCTCCCATTCGCTGTCTATGATTTCTGAAGTGAATGTCAGATATTCGACGCAGACCATGATAAGGACATTTAAATGAACTATGATGTTTACAGTAATTTATATAGAAATGCTAACTCAGTGTATATGTATCAGTGAACTGTTTTCGCCATGGTTATGTTCAGAAAATAACACTTGTAATGCTTGAGCAAGCCTTCCATAAATTTTAATAACTGTAAGGAAAAATATTCTTACATAGCTAATATATAATTATAGTATATAAGTTTTAAAAAAGAAGTATTAGAATAATATCACGCTTTCTTACCTGAAAAATAAAGTGGTCCTGAAAATTTTGAACCATCACACAACTCACAAAAAGGTAGCAGAGTCTCGCTTCCTGTAAATAAAAGTTTCTTTTTGATTGATTAACTGGTGGCTTTATGTGTGCTTCATTTAAGAGAGTCTGCTTACTTATACATTATTTTGCCTTCCATTATGTTACATAGTTATCAAAGGTACCAGGATCATAATTCAATACGCCAGACGCGCGTTTCGTCTACATTAGACTCATCAGTGACGCTCTGATCAAAATAGTTATAAAACCAAACAAGTATAAAGTTAAAGAGCATTGAGTACCCAAAATTCCAAAAAGTTGTGCCAAATACGGCTAAGGTTATCTATTCCTGGGATAAGAAAATCTTTAGTTTTTCGAAAAATTCAAAGTTCAAAGTTACATGTCTGGAAATATTGGATGATTTTATTGTTGCGCCACGTTACCAAATAGTCGTTGAATATTTTTTTTTTTTTTTTTTTTTTTTTTTGCGTTGAACCACGATATACTGATACTTTGTTTTTATTCACATTGAATGAATTAAGAAAAAACTTATTTCAAATTATTGTCCGGAATAGTATACATTATTTCGAATTACATTTACTAAGTTTAAATTTTAACGCCAGATGCGCGTTTAAAATGTGAAATCAAGTTCGAAGAAGACCCAAAAATTCCGAAAGGTTTTGCCAAATATAGCTACGGTAATCTATTCCTTAGGGTAGAAAAATCCTTAGTATCTCGATCAATTCATAGTGGTTTCCGAACGGGAAATTTCTATCGCTCACCAGCCGGCGAAGTTATTTCAATATTTACTTTTCAAGAGTAAAACGCCTTAATTTTCTATATCTTTGATTTCTTTTGTTTCCTGATTGTAACTAAAATACTGCTCGACACAATCTTTTGACATGTGAACACACTGTCATGAACTACGGCATAATGTATGGATCAAGTTTGATGGTTTGAGATTTCAGATTTGACGTTGAAGAGTTATGACCCGTAATAATCTTAATGTGTTGCCCTGTTTAGATTTGTATACGAGATATAACATTTACGATATTTTCATGAACAATAAACACAAAATATGAAAAAAATACTTTTATAATTTAATGTATGACGATTTAGTTCTCATGAATTTAAAGGTTTCTGGGAAATTGTAGGATTATACTAGCAACATTTCTATTTTTGTGTGAAATAGTTTTATCGGACAGCTACTTATTTGATTATTTGATTGCAGTCTACACGTTTAAATCAACCTCTTGGCATATTACCTCGGGGTCTTTGAAACATTTATAAAACCAAACAAAACAAACAGTGGAAAATTAAGCAACAGTAGCTTACAATTGTTCAAATTTTATAGATTGATAAGGAAGACAAATCAATGTAACTAACAAAAAACTCGGGAAATTGAAAAGGAGCGAGACGGTGTGCGTCTATAAAAGGGTAAACGTCTCCAAAGAAATAATTATAAGGTATATAGTTATTATATTATATAGGTTTTAGAAATATGCAATAAGAACTTTTTATCATTAAATTCTGATATTTTTATTTGTAGCCAATAATCATCAGCAAAAGTTTACAATCTGATATTAATTCGGTATCGAAATCACAAGTACTTTTCAATATTAAGTTTCATGAAAGAAATAAACTTTACCTGCACTGAAGTATTCGAACCAGTCGGTATCAGTTAGGGCCATAAACTTGAAACAAAAATATAGTCCAAATTCTCTATCAGAAAAAAAACCAGATTAGTAAAAGTCGTGTTCTACAGCTACTTCAACATATAAGAACATTTCAAAATGTTTGCGTGTCTGTATATTTGGATCATACAACACGATACAATATTTGATAGGTTTATCGCAATATTTGATGTTAATGCATTGGAGCACTATCATAAAGGCGTTTTTAAGATTTTTAAAAATGTCAGTGGTGTATGATCACAAAATTAGGACAAACTGTCAAAATCAGCGGAAGAGCCTGACTCATTCGATTGGCACAAACTACCGATCTAAGAGTACTCACACTTTAAAAAAAAGTTCAAAGCCAATTGCAACGTATAAAGAAGTCATGTTTTCCAGATTAAAATATAGATCAAAACATATCCAACAAAATTAGTTTTAAGACGTCACACAGTCTAAAAAGGCATGAAAAAATTCAAATATGCTTGAAATACGACAGTTTGAATTATAAAACTAAGGACATTAGGCAACCAATAACTGGTCAAGCAGTCAATACTTCTAAGTTTCATAATTCACTCTGTAGTATTACAAGGATATTTGATTTGGTTCATGATTTTCAAAATATTATAGACATAACACTGCCTTAACTAACCTACGAAAAAAATCGTTTACCAATCTATGAAGGAAAATGTGTGTCCTGGTCCAAGGAACAAAGGATATATTTTCCATGAAATATACATGCTACATTCAATTCCTTCTCATAAGACCCAAATGGATATGTACTGATTGATATTTAAGTCTGGTCTAACATGATTTATTTATTAGTTGTAACCATAATCCCGTCCTCTTTTCCTCAAATGTTACTGATCACCGGATTCGTCCTTACATTAGCATAACGACATGTGGTGTAGGCTCTGCTTATCCTTCTATATCACATGAGATCACCCAGGGTTTTTGTAGGGTTCGTGTGGCTCAGTCTTTAGTTTTCTATGTTGCGTTTTGTGTACTGTTGTTTGTGTTTTCTGTGTTACGTTTTTTGCTATAGCATCGTCAGTTTGTTTTCGACTTATGTGTTTGAATATCCCTTTAGTATCTTTCGGCTTTAAACTATAGTGTTCAGTAACTGCACGTCTCTTAGATAGGTGATTTGTGTCTTTTATATTTTTGCTAGTTGCTTTTGTGCTCCAAGTCAATCCGATGAGGAAAGCCCTTTCCAACTGATTTTTTGTCAGTTTGTATAGCTGTTGTCCCACTTTCACCTGTTATGGTGAGAGGTTACGCGCTCACAAAAAGGAAACAAAAAAAAACTCCACCACATTCTTTATGTGCCTGTTATTCAGTGGTTGTTGTAAAATTGTAATATTTCAGTTTTTTTGTTTCTTTGCTTAGTATAATTCAATTATCTGGTAAGTTCACATTATATCATATCGAGGCTTGGGTTTTCTCATTATTGATGGGAAAATGGACTGAATTCTCTCTATTTATGGTCCAAGTTGTGTCTATAGACGGTCCTAGATGACTTCAAATCGATAACAAAAATAACTCATCAAATATACCACTCTAATAACTGTGTACACCAGAAATGATACACCATTCCATTATCTATAGGACTGTCCTAGTTGTTTCTCATACAGACGATCCGACATGTCTCTTTAGACGGTCGGATTTGCCTTTTTCATATACGGTCCGAGATGTCTTCTGGCCGGGTTGGCTTGTTCTTAGGCCTAACTGTGTTTCGTTTAAAAAATTGTGAAGAGTTCCAGTAAGAAATGATTAGTTGCAAGATATATATAAAATGGTTTCAAATAGCGTTAAATTTTGCGTTATATGATATTAAACTCGTTATTTCATGCCCGTAAGAAAATAGTTCCTATATAATTTGAAAAGAAATAAGGTTCATGATAACTTTCAAAGATTTTAACTTCGTTGTTTTTAGAAGGTGTTATGACTATTTGCAAGATTTTTACTTGACAAGCAAATAAATTAACATCGTTTTTGTTTTCGATTGAGTAAAATACATCTAGAATTTGTCAATAAAAAACAAGTCTCGTTACCACATGACAAACTATAAATGGCTTCTTCGGAGTTGGATTTTTTACTTTGAAGTTTAAAGGGTTAAAAGTTAAAAAAAAAAGGAGTTAACATCAATGTCTAATCTTTTAAAAACGACGTAAGGACAAACAATAATGACAAACAAACCACGTTCTTTATGTGCCTGTCCCAATTCAGGAGCTTGTAGTTCAGTGGTTGTCGTTGGTTCATGTCTGTAATATTTGTTTTTCGTAAATTGTTTTGATATAAATTATACCTTTAGTGTTCTGCATTGAATTGTTTCATATTTTTCATGTCGGGCCTTTTATAGCCGACTATACGGTATGGGTTTTTCTCATTGTTGACGACCGTACGGTTGCCTATAATTGCTTACATCCACTTCATTTGAACTTTGGTGGATAGTTGTCTCATTTGCAATCATGCCACATCTTTTGATTTTTACATAGAAGGTAGACTGGACAGCACGAACTTAACTAAAATTTCGGGATGAAATCAGGTGCGCTCGATGGGACCTTTTGCCTCCAGGTTTTCGTTTTTCATGCAATCTTACCTGATTATAAAGAAAGGCCCCTGTCTCATGATACATTCAGATACTGATGTCTGTTCTCCTATTGGCCGTGATAAGTTGGTATATGTACCAAGGGATGGAGTGTTGAGAATCCATATATTACTCCGCTCTTCCAGGATTGGTATGTTTTCTCTAAATTCACACGGAAATAAGCATCGTGTAGGCTTGGCTATGAAAAAAGAAACCTACTATGAGTTGGGATATCAAGGGGTGTTCATAACACAACAACTTATCAATTTCAGTACAACTTATAAACAGCAAAAAAAAAACGAACAGACTAACAACAGTTTTAATCCTTTTTTAAATCTTTTTTTTTTTATGTATATTATTATTATAATGCTTTGTGCGTATGTGTTGGTTTACTCGTTTCAAACGAAATGATTTTTTTACAACACTCCCTCAGGCAAAGATGACCTTAGATGGATTTGGCTAATTTTTTAGGTCCTTTTTGTTATATAGCTCTTAAATTGTTTCGGATTTTATACTTCCTTGGCTTTCAAATATTCGGCTTTGAGCATTCCTGATGAAGGTAAATCGAGAAAAGCGCTTCGGACGCATGAAATTTATAACGTGTTGTTTTCATTTTTTTTTACAGCACTGGGTCGATACCGCTGCTGGTGGACTATCAGTCCCAGAGGGTATTATCAGCTCAGTAGTCAGTACTTCGGTACTGACATGATTTATAACAAACCTTTCTAAAATTGTCCGTTTATAAATTTTTGAAATTATAAAGAAACTAAGGTTTCAACTCCCTCAGGCAAAGTTGACCTTAGATGTATTTGGCTATTTTTTTTTAGGTCCTTTTGGTTATATAACTCTTCAATTGTTTCGGATTTTATACTTCCTTGGCTTTCAAATATTCGGCTTTGAGTGTTCCTGATGAGGGTTAATCTAGAAAAGTGCTTCGGACGCATGGAATTATTTAACGTGTTGTTTTCATTTTTATGATTGCACGTCCTAACAAAAAAAAAATGGAACGTACGTTAACGAGTTCAACACCTTAATAGAATGTTAAAAATTGAGAAAAATGTGATAAAAATAGACAGAGACATAACCTTACTGTCATGCAAAAGTAGATAACGAGAATTCAGTCTGCTGTTTTTTATTGAATTTATTTATTGTTATTGAATTTTATTTTTAGATTCCAATAATGACTTAAAGTTTACTTTTTCATGCAATTAAACTCATCATAGATACAAGGATTAAAATTGTGTATACCAGACGCGCGTTTCGTCTACAAAAGACTGGTCAGTGACGCTCGAATCAAACATGTTCAAAAGGCAAAATAAACTTCGAAGTTGAAGAGCATTGAGGACTCAAAATTGTTATATTTGCTAACAATTAAACACTACATCAGACTACTCGTTGACTTAATATTAAGCTTATATATAGAATAAGAGATATTAAATTAGACAACAACCAAATAACATCAAGACCGTCACTGTCGTTAACATACAGTCAAACATGTTTAACCCCGCAACATTCTTTATCAACCTCTCCTTATTCAGTATCCGATAGGGAAAAAAGTAGTATTTCGTTTTCCCGGCTTTAGGTTGGCCTTTCGTGTACCCACAACAAGTGAAGAAGGTCAACTTAGGAGAGCTGTGATTTGATACATATTGTTTATATATATGAACGAATAAGTGCAGTGTGTATATTTACAATATAAATTGTGAAACACATTGAAATATTTTCTTGAGAATTATTCGAAAAGGCTTCCAAATTTTCATAAATTTGATGTAAAATGACGTTGAGCATAGCTCCATAAACAAGTTCCGTTTGAAGATGGTCATGATACCATTTGACTTCAATTTCTAAAACAAAATGATCAAGTACTAATATCACACATAACTGTTTTGTCCAGGTTTTTATTATAAAAAGTTGTATATTTAGAAAATGTTAGTATTGTCGCCTATGAAAGAATAAATACTACCGCTTTCCCTGTAGTTCAAAGGTAACCATTGGTTCAGGTCTGTCATATTTGTTTTTTGTTAATTGTTTTGTTATAAATTAGGTTTATAGTTTTTTTCGTTTGCATTGTGTCACAATTTTTCTAGTTTGGGCCTTTCATAGAAGAAAGTAAAATAACAGAAATAGCAAACTCCAAGGAAAATTCAAAACGGAAAGTACCTTATTATATGGCAAAATCAGAAGCTCAAACATATCAAACAAATGGAAAACAACTGTCATATCCTGACTTGGTACAAGCATTTCCTTATGTAGAAAATGGTGGATTAAACCTGTTTTATAGACGACTATGCGTTATGGGTTTTCTCATTGTTGATGACTGTAAGGTGACCTATAATTGCTTATGTCCACTGATTTAAACTCTGGTGGATAGTCTTCACTTTATTTGCTAATGCATTTGTATGAACTTAAAAATGCCAAGAGAAGACTATTCTAAAATGTTGTGAGGTCATAAATATTCATACTAATACTAACACGCAAGGCCATTTTTTAGTCTGGGAGGAAAATTCAAATACGAAATGTGAATCAATTTATAAAACATTAAACGGCTATCTATTCAAACACTAGGCATTCTTTTTACGATATGTCGTCAATTACCAGATTATTTTTGTAAAGTTCCCTTGCTAAATGTGATTTTTTCATATAAAATAAGATTAACAAAAAGATAAAGATACTCATCTGATTTTTTTAGTTTTTGCTGTTGTTAAAACTTCCAATAACAAACAAAATTACTAGAATTTATGTTCAAGCGTACTAAAACATAAACATAGCATTACACATTTGCATATATAAACAATGAGGAACAAAATTGTATTTCAAAATTTTGCTGAGAATTACTAACTCGCTTCAACAATTACTGGTAATCAAACTCAGCGCACATAGTACATTATATAATTTCTTTAATTTCAAATTGAGGCTTTCAACACGATATACAATTTTGATAAGAATTATTTGGACGGAAATCATTTGCCAATGATCAGTTTCATAGATGCGGGGTATTGACACCAGATTACAGAATATAATAATGTTTCATATGTTATTGAAGGTATGCTATAATTGGTCAATATACATAAGTCCGGGAATATTGTATTTTTATTTTTATATTACTTTCATACATTACGATCAGAGATTTGCATACAGAACCTACCTTGATAATAGGAATGAACAACACCGGCTGTTAACAGCACAAACAAAAGAACTTGGAAACCCATTGCAACTAATTGACTGAAATAAAACACAGTGATATGTTGTAGTGTAGTGAGCAAAATATTGTGAACCCATTTAAAACTGGTCGAGACGCTTATCTTCGTGCTGTAGTTTCAGTTTTATCAGAAATATTTCTAGGATGTACAAACAACCCGCACTTAAGATCGGTTATGAAACGTTGCAGAACAAACACATTGTATTAATTTACTACTAATAACAATAAAAAAGAAGTAGATAATACCAAGGGACATTCAAAACTCATAAGTCGAATTCTGACACATTATATTTATAAAAATTGGTAAACTTATAATGTTGGTATTCTTTCAGAAATAAAACAATTGAAACTTGCTACTGCTATTTAAATTATCAACGAATTATCTTAATCAACATTTTTACATAGGAATAATGTATAAACACTTGAACAATTAAAAACTGTCTGATGAAAGACCTTGTGGTTGTAAGATGTATTTATAAATTTATCAAAAAATATTTAGGTTTCTCCTCATTACAAAGGAACACGCGTCTGAGGAATAACAAAATATGAGTGAAAAATAAAAAAATATGAGCAAAGAACTATTTAAAGTATTCACATGGCATTAGGTTTACTTTCAAACACATTGAAATGTAACCTTACCTTAAATTATACCTGCTTTCCTCCTTGCAGCTAGCTATTCTAATGGTATAAAAAAAATAATGATTTATTAATTTACTTAGTATCAATCGTACTTTACACCCTCTCGAAATTGTCACACAAGCTGGTACAATTCTAGAAATAGCCTACACGGAAAGATTGACTACCTTGTTTTGATCGTTGTTTTAAGGGATATTGATCTCCTTGTAAACTCTTATTTGAGTAAGATTTTACTATAACATCTTACGTCAGTGTTCATAAAAATATATATATAATGAAACATGTGAAACATAGATTTATACTTCTTCTGAAAAGTAAATTGAAAGATTTATGTTTTTTACTGATTTTTGCAGGATTTTTTTTAGTTTCATCAACCACATTTTTACTAATAGAAAAACATGGATATGGGGTATCCCTCCATGACACAAAATCAGTACATGCACAGCAAAAAACACAAAAAGCAAAGGGTTTGCTTAATCATATTTTGAACTTGTCACTAATATTAAAGTGTTGTTAATGGCGCTAAAGAGTCAATTTCATTAGTTTTTATTTTGATAATCAAAATAGAATTTATCATTCCTTTAACATTCATAATATATATGTCACTTCCTTGATGTAAAGCAAAGATTGACAAACTTAGACAACATTTGTTACATAGATAGATTAAGAATAATAAAAATAAAATACTAATAAAAGTAAAAAGTAATAAACCGAGATAATCACATGATCTCCAAAATGAAGCGAGGCCAGATGCGACATGAATAAGTCATTGTAATTTGCTAATTTATGTGATACGTTCAGCAACTAACAGTCACGATTAGAGTATCAACACAACCAATCAAAATAGATTAAAACAACGAGAGGTAGTAGATATCAAGGGGCATTCAAAACTCATTAGTCAAATTCTGAAACATATTATATTGATTTAAAAATGTGGTGAAATTATAATGTTGGTATTTTTTGAGAAATAAAACACTTGAAAACAACTGAGCACCTGAGATCACCCCCAGTTTTTGTCTTGCTCAGGCTTTAGTTTTCTATGTTGTGATGTATGTACTATTGTTTGTCTATTGGCCTTTTACTTTTTTTCTTTTTTTTTTGCCATGGCGTTGTCAGTTTATTTTCGACTTACGAGTTTGAATGTCCCTTTGGTATCTTTCGCCTCTCTTTTGAAACTTCGTACTGCTATTTAGATTATCAATGAATTATCTTAATCAACATTTTTCATAAGAATAATATATATTAGTAAACACTTAAACAATTAACAACTGATGAAAGACCTTGTGGATGTAAGATTTATTTTATAATGTTATCAAAAAATATTCAGGTTTCACCTCATTATTTAATGCATTACAAGGGGAAACGTCCGAGGAATAAAAAAATATGAGCGAAAAAATAACAATATGAGCACGGTACTATTTAAGGTACCTCCATGGCATTAGGTTTACTTTCAAACAGATCGAAATGTTATCTTACCTTTAGACTAAAAATTAGACCTGCTTTCCTCCTTGCAATCAACTATTCTAATGGTATTCAAAAATAATGTTTCGTTAATTTACTGAGTATCAATCGTACTTTACACCCTCTCGAACTTGTCACACAAGCTGGTACATTTCTAGAAATAGCCTACACGGAAATATTGACTACCTTGTTTTGATCGTTGTTTGAAGGGATATTGATCTCATTGTAAACTCTTATTTGAGTAAGATTTTACTGTTACATCTTACGTCAGTGTTCATAAAAATATATATATAGTTAAACATGTGAAACATAGATTTATATTTCTTCTGAAAAGTAAATTGAAAGATTTATGTTTTTTTTACTGTTCTTTGCAGGAGCTTTTTTTGTTTCATCAACCACATTTTTACTAATAGAAAAACATGGATATTGGGTATCCCTCCATGACACAAAATCAGTACATGCACAGCAAAAAACACAAAAAGCACAGGGTTTGCTTAATCATATTTTGAACTTGTCACTAATATCAAAGTGTTGTTAATGGCGCCAAAGAGGCAATTTCATTTGTTTTTATTTTGATAATCAAAATAGAATTTATCATCCCTTTAACATTCATAATATATATGTCACTTCCTTGATGTAAAGCAAAGATTGACAAACTTAGACAACATTTGTTACATAGATAGATTGAGAAGATACTAATAAAAGTAAAAAGTAATAAACCGAGATAATCACATGATCTCCAAAATGAAGCGAGGCCAGATGCGACATGATTAAGTCATTGTAATTTGCTAAATATATGTGATACGTTCAGCAACTAACAGTCACAATTAGAGTATCAACACAACCAATCCAAATAAATTAAAACAACGAGAGGTAGTAGGTATCACGGGGCATTCAAAACTTATTAGTCGAATTCTGAAACAATTTATATTGATTTAAAAATTTGGTGAAATTATAATGTTGGTATTTTTTGAGAAATAAAACACTTGAAAACAACTGAGCACCTGAGATCACCCCCAGTTTTTGTATTGCTCAAGCTTTAGTTTTCGATGTTGTGATGTTTGTACTGTTGTTTGTCTATTGGCTTTTTTTCTTTTTTCTTTTTTTTTCTTTACCATGGCGTTGTCAGTTTATTTTTCGACATATGAGTTTGAATGTTCTTTGGTATCTTTTGCCTCTCTTTTGAAACTTCCTTCTGCTATTTAGATTATCAATGAATTATCTTAATCAACATTTTTCATAAAAATAATATATATTAGTAAACACTTAAATAATTAACAACTGATGAAAGACCTTGTGGATGTAAGATTTATTTTATAATGTTATCAAAAAATATTTAGGTTTTACCTCACTATTTAATGCATTACAAAGGGAAACGTCAGAGGAATAACAAAATATGAGTGAAAAAATAAGAATATGAGCACGGTACTATTTAAGGTACCTGCATGGCATCAGGTTTACTTTCAAACAGATCGAAATGTTATCTTACCTTTAGACTACAAATTAGACCTGCTTTCCTCCTTGCAATCAGCTATTCTAATGGTATTCAAAATTTATGTTTTGTTAATTTACTTTAAGTTTTGACTGTAACATATTACATCAGTGTTCATAAAAACATATATATTGTAAAACATGGATTTATATTTCTTCTCAAAAGAAAATTTAATGGTTTATGTTGTTGAATATTCTATGCAGGATTTATTTTTTTGTTTCATTAACCAGACTTTGACTAGTTGGTCTTGAACATGACACTATATTTAAAGTGTTGTTAACGGATTCAACGAGACAGTTTATTAACTTTTATTTTGATTATCAGAATAAAGGTTATAATCGCTTTAACATTTATATTGTACATGTAATAGAAAAACAAAGGATATGGGGCATCCGTCCATGACACAAAATCAATAAAATGCACAGCAAAAAAAAATGCACGAAAAGAGAAGGTATCATAAAGCCACTTGTTTGGCCTCTGGAATTCGATAATCAAAAAGTATTATAAATCTACCTAATAACATTCTTAAGATGATCATAAGATATTCATCTGTCAGACGTCAGTGTTTATATTTTTGAATTGTGTCGTACATATTGACATTACGGCTTCAAACTTCTTATATTTAGTGCAAAACATAAAAAAAAACTGCCAATCTAACCTCACTTGGATCATATATAGATATGAGCAACAGCTTTACCCAAAAAGATATTTTGCTAAAAAATTGCTTTTACAGAAATGTTACTAATGTGTTTGAAATATCATGTTGGGTTAAAGGTGTTGCTCATATATATTTTGACCAAGAAATATGCGTTAATAGGGATTTTTAAATCAAATATACATAAATTTTGAAATCGTTATGGCGTTATAATTATCTTTCAATGGAAAACAGAATTTTGAAAGTCCGACTTTTAGCTATTCAGCCAAAGATTTGAAATCACAACAGTGTATAGATTGCTATAAAGGTAAATAAAACTATTTGCATCTTAAACTGTTGTCGCAAAAATTCTTTTTGGCATCTATGGTATACAAATAAGGAGATGTGGTATGATTGCCAACGAGACAACTATTCACCAAAGTTCAAATGAATTTGATGTAAACAATTAAAGGCAACCGTACGGCCTTCAACAATGAGAAAAACCCATACTACATAGTCGGCTATTTATTATTGTAATTGGTATAATTGGAGACTTTACTTACATGGCTTTTAACTTTTGTTGGAGAAAATGGCATAATGGTTCAATGTAGTTGAATCTTGATCCTATTTTATTCGTTGCATCTTACATTTCCATAAAAAAATACCACACCGAGTTGGCAAACTATGTCTCCATACTTAACGAACGAACGAACGAACGAACTTATACAACTTAGGCTTTCAAATTTTTTGGCTTTGAACGTTCCTGATGAATGTAAATCCAGAAAAAAACGCTTAGGACGCAAAAAATTAATTTTTATTTTCTAGCAATGGGTTGATACCGCTGCTGGTGGACTATAAGTACCCATGGATATCATCAACTCAGTAGTCAGTGTCCGTTGATAAATTTATGAATTATTGTGAAACTAAGGTTTCAACTCTCTCAAGCAAAGTTGTCATTAGATGGATTTGGCCATTATTTTGTTTGTCCTTTTTGGTCAGATAGCTCTTTAAGTGTCTTATACATCCTTTGCTCTCAATGTTTAGGCTTTATGCTCCCCTGATACAGGTAAATCCTGATAAGCATTTCGGATGCATACAATTTATAATGTTAGTATCTTTTTGTTTCTTTCTCTAATTGGGATAAAGTCACTGCGGCAAGCTACATTTAGCACTGATTTCTAAATAAACATAATTTCGACCAATGATACAGCATTCAAACGATAAAAATTTTTAAAAGACATATAAAGGGTAAGGTAAAGGCCTTTAACAATTCACTTTACAATATGACAAGCTTTAAATTGTCCAAATGTCTTATCTATTTTTTTAGACAGAATCCTATCTAAATTGTACTAGACCGATTTTTTCCGTTCGAGCTTAAAATGCATAAACAGTTCTCTCACGACATAATACTGTCCCCGGACTTATCATTCGGACTCGTAGCAATTAGTTTTTACT